TGCTCCCTATAAAATGCAACGTCTTCCTGCACAGGTGGTTCTGGTTAAGTGCCAGCCTGCTTCGGGTTTGTAATTAGTTGTTGCAATTTTCTGATTTCGTCGTCCTTTTTCATAATCCAGATTTCGTTTTGGCATTCCAGTTCAGCCATTTGATCCTGAAGCTCTTTTATAGTAGAATCATTATGGCATCGTATATCTGAGATTTAAATGAGTGGTTGACCTCACGTTGGTTACTCTCGTCCATCAGACTCTTTACGTCATTTCTCAGTTTAGATTCAAGTTCTTTTAGGAAGCCAATTTCATCTTGCAGTTCAGCAATGTGTGACATCGTTACATCAGTTTGTGCAGCAGCACTTAAAGAATGTTGCATATCTTCGTACTCAGCGTCAAGCATAGCTTCTAAGTCTGCAACCTTCTTTTTTGACTCAATATTTTGAGCTTCAAGAGATGGTTTAGGGCTCTCTGATCTTCCTAGGTTCTTCAGTTGAGTACGCAGCATCTCTATTTCTGACTCGTATGTTTTTAGTCTTTTTATTATTTTTTTCCAGAAAATCGAGTCTGTATTGCAAGTCGATGAAATTCTTGCGCTTTTGAGAATTTTTTTGAACTCTTTCTATTTCTTCGTTGTACGCATCCGTTACTTGGCGGAGTTCCTGACTGTAACGATCGAATTTAGAATTGGCTTCTGTGAGCTGTTTCTTCAGGTCCAAAATCTCCAGCTGATTATCTAGTTTAGTGAATTCTCTAAGCTCATTGAAAGATTCTTCCAGTTCTTTGAGTTGTCTTTTAAGTACACTTGCACGTCTTCAGCTATCACAGATTCTGCTTCGGCTAGTGCCTCCTCATATGTCTCTTCTTGAATAGGCCTCATTTCACGTCCGGATGATTCTTCTTTGGGTGGATAATTTTTCAATGGCATATACCCTAGGGATGCTTTTTTAGGTGATACGTTGCCATAGTGTCCAAAAGTATGACGTCTTAATGTTTTTTTCGGTGTTGATGCCGAGGCTCCCATTTGAAAGCGCCCGACAATAGATACTTCCGTTTTTAGTCTTTCTATCTCGAGCAGATACTCTTGTTTGCTTTTATCCATCTCTTTTAGCTTAATTGCCTGCTTTTTGAGCCGAGTTTCGAGATCGCGAGTCAAGTTCTGATATCCTTGAAGTGTCTCTTCTGTAGCTGACAAGATGTTTACTTTCGTTTTATTTTTGACAGTTTTAGTGCTTTGGGCGAATTCTGGTGTAGATCTAGTCTCCTCCTCTGCAGCTAAAGTAACATTCCCGATAATCAATGATTTGGCATTACCGCCAAGAGCCTGTGAGAGCAGTCTAGTCAATTTCGAATCGCGATAACTGATAAACTCCTTCCCCTCGCTTAGTTGCCTTATCACATTTCCTAATACTGACAAAGATTTGTTTATGTTAGCCCCCTCTTTAAGACGCTCACCAGCAGCTTTCGTCAGAGAAACTCTCTCAGAACCAGCTAAGTCCATTAAGTTAAGGTAGCTTATATGTACAGGTCCATCTTTCTGATTGGCATCTTTCGACTCCAGAATAATCCGGAAAATCGTGTGTGATCGAGATGACCTCTCATTCATGCGAGTAGCTGCAACTCGTCTGATCTTATTGCCCTGCATCATGTTCTCCATAACTTTATCAACATTGTCTACGACAGCTTCCCTTGCATCAAGCAGCACATTTCCTTTGATATCTTCTCTTATAGTTAAACCCTGATTGCTCTTATCCAGGAGGTCATTGATCTTTTCATTGTAGATTTCAATATAACTGCATCTAATCAAGTACCTCTTATCAACCTGGTCTGCCACATGCTGGAATAACTGATTGGATACTAATTGGAAAAGCCCAGGATCTGTTTTATTGCCCAAAATGGTGTGTGTTTTGCCAGAAGATGTTTGGCCATATGCAAATATTGTGGCATTGAAACCTTCCATGAAGGAATCGACTAAAGGTTTTACTACAGATCCATATACATCTGAATTTGTACATTCCTGCTTAAATACATGGTCGAATATATAAACCTCTCCATGGCGACTACTTTCATCGGCTTCCCATATGCAGTTTACTCTTACGTTCCAAAGACGCTCTAGACCATCGGCTACTTCGCGGTGGATCATTGGTCTGATCTTTGTGGCTACTTTAATATTGTCGGAAGTCATTTTGGAAGCTTGAACTGAAATTTAATTAGAACTAGGGCTATTTCACGGGTTATAAAGAGGGGCACTTTTCATAATCCAGATTTCGTTTTGGCATTCCAGTTCAGCCATTTGATCCTGAAGCTCTTTTATAGTAGAATCATTATGGCATCGTATATCTGAGATTTTAAATGAGTGGTTGACCTCACGTTGGTTACTCTCGTCCATCAGACTCTTTACGTCATTTCTCAGTTTAGATTCAAGTTCTTTTAGGAAGCCAATTTCATCTTGCAGTTCAGCAATGTGTGACATCGTTACATCAGTTTGTGTAGCAGCACTTAAAGAATCTTGCATATCTTCGTACTCAGCGTCAAGCATAGCTTCTAAGTCTGCAACCTTCTTTTTTGACTCAATATTTTGAGCTTCAAGAGATGGTTTAGGGCTCTCTGATCTTCCTAGGTTCTTCAGTTGAGTACGCAGCATCTCTATTTCTGACTCGTATGTTTTTAGTCTTTTTATTATTTTTTTCCAGAAAATCGAGTCTGTATTGCAAGTCGATGAAATTCTTGCGCTTTTTGAGAATTTTTTGAACTCTTTCTATTTCTTCGTTGTACGCATCCGTTACTTGGCGGAGTTCCTGACTGTAACGATCGATTTTAGAATTGGCTTCTGTGAGCTGTTTCTTCAGGTCCAAAATCTCCAGCTGATTATCTAGTTTAGTGAATTCTCTAAGCTCATTGAAAGATTCTTCCAGTTCTTTGCGTTGTCTTTTAAGTACACTTGCACGTCTTCAGCTATCACAGATTCTGCTTCGGCTAGTGCCTCCTCATATGTCTCTTCTTGAATAGGCCTCATTTCACGTCCGGATGATTCTTCTTTGGGTGGATAATTTTTCAATGGCATATACCCTAGGGATGCTTTTTTAGGTGATACGTTGCCATAGTGTCCAAAAGTATGACGTCTTAATGTTTTTTTCGGTGTTGATGCCGAGGCTCCCATTTGAAAGCGCCCGACAATAGATACTTCCGTTTTTAGTCTTTCTATCTCGAGCAGATACTCTTGTTTGCTTTTATCCATCTCTTTTAGCTTAATTGCCTGCTTTTTGAGCCGAGTTTCGAGATCGCGAGTCAAGTTCTGATATCCTTGAAGTGTCTCTTCTGTAGCTGACAAGATGTTTACTTTCGTTTTATTTTTGACAGTTTTAGTGCTTTGGGCGAATTCTGGTGTAGATCTAGTCTCCTCCTCTGCAGCTAAAGTAACATTCCCGATAATCAATGATTTGGCATTACCGCCAAGAGCCTGTGAGAGCAGTCTAGTCAATTTCGAATCGCGATAACTGATAAACTCCTTCCCCTCGCTTAGTTGCCTTATCACATTTCCTAATACTGACAAAGATTTGTTTATGTTAGCCCCCTCTTTAAGACGCTCACCAGCAGCTTTCGTCAGAGAAACTCTCTCAGAACCAGCTAAGTCCATTAAGTTAAGGTAGCTTATATGTACAGGTCCATCTTTCTGATTGGCATCTTTCGACTCCAGAATAATCCGGAAAATCGTGTGTGATCGAGATGACCTCTCATTCATGCGAGTAGCTGCAACTCGTCTGATCTTATTGCCCTGCATCATGTTCTCCATAACTTTATCAACATTGTCTACGACAGCTTCCCTTGCATCAAGCAGCACATTTCCTTTGATATCTTCTCTTATAGTTAAACCCTGATTGCTCTTATCCAGGAGGTCATTGATCTTTTCATTGTAGATTTCAATATAACTGCATCTAATCAAGTACCTCTTATCAACCTGGTCTGCCACATGCTGGAATAACTGATTGGATACTAATTGGAAAAGCCCAGGATCTGTTTTATTGCCCAAAATGGTGTGTGTTTTGCCAGAAGATGTTTGGCCATATGCAAATATTGTGGCATTGAAACCTTCCATGAAGGAATCGACTAAAGGTTTTACTACAGATCCATATACATCTGAATTTGTACATTCCTGCTTAAATACATGGTCGAATATATAAACCTCTCCATGGCGACTACTTTCATCGGCTTCCCATATGCAGTTTACTCTTACGTTCCAAAGACGCTCTAGACCATCGGCTACTTCGCGGTGGATCATTGGTCTGATCTTTGTGGCTACTTTAATATTGTCGGAAGTCATTTTGGAAGCTTGAACTGAAATTTAATTAGAACTAGGGCTATTTCACGGGTTATAAAGAGGGGCACTTTTCATAATCCAGATTTCGTTTTGGCATTCCAGTTCAGCCATTTGATCCTGAAGCTCTTTTATAGTAGAATCATTATGGCATCGTATATCTGAGATTTTAAATGAGTGGTTGACCTCACGTTGGTTACTCTCGTCCATCAGACTCTTTACGTCATTTCTCAGTTTAGATTCAAGTTCTTTTAGGAAGCCAATTTCATCTTGCAGTTCAGCAATGTGTGACATCGTTACATCAGTTTGTGTAGCAGCACTTAAAGAATCTTGCATATCTTCGTACTCAGCGTCAAGCATAGCTTCTAAGTCTGCAACCTTCTTTTTTGACTCAATATTTTGAGCTTCAAGAGATGGTTTAGGGCTCTCTGATCTTCCTAGGTTCTTCAGTTGAGTACGCAGCATCTCTATTTCTGACTCGTATGTTTTTAGTCTTTTTATTATTTTTTTCCAGAAAATCGAGTCTGTATTGCAAGTCGATGAAATTCTTGCGCTTTTTGAGAATTTTTTTGAACTCTTTCTATTTCTTCGTTGTACGCATCCGTTACTTGGCGGAGTTCCTGACTGTAACGATCGATTTTAGAATTGGCTTCTGTGAGCTGTTTCTTCAGGTCCAAAATCTCCAGCTGATTATCTAGTTTAGTGAATTCTCTAAGCTCATTGAAAGATTCTTCCAGTTCTTTGCGTTGTCTTTTAAGTACACTTGCACGTCTTCAGCTATCACAGATTCTGCTTCGGCTAGTGCCTCCTCATATGTCTCTTCTTGAATAGGCCTCATTTCACGTCCGGATGATTCTTCTTTGGGTGGATAATTTTTCAATGGCATATACCCTAGGGATGCTTTTTTAGGTGATACGTTGCCATAGTGTCCAAAAGTATGACGTCTTAATGTTTTTTTCGGTGTTGATGCCGAGGCTCCCATTTGAAAGCGCCCGACAATAGATACTTCCGTTTTTAGTCTTTCTATCTCGAGCAGATACTCTTGTTTGCTTTTATCCATCTCTTTTAGCTTAATTGCCTGCTTTTTGAGCCGAGTTTCGAGATCGCGAGTCAAGTTCTGATATCCTTGAAGTGTCTCTTCTGTAGCTGACAAGATGTTTACTTTCGTTTTATTTTTGACAGTTTTAGTGCTTTGGGCGAATTCTGGTGTAGATCTAGTCTCCTCCTCTGCAGCTAAAGTAACATTCCCGATAATCAATGATTTGGCATTACCGCCAAGAGCCTGTGAGAGCAGTCTAGTCAATTTCGAATCGCGATAACTGATAAACTCCTTCCCCTCGCTTAGTTGCCTTATCACATTTCCTAATACTGACAAAGATTTGTTTATGTTAGCCCCCTCTTTAAGACGCTCACCAGCAGCTTTCGTCAGAGAAACTCTCTCAGAACCAGCTAAGTCCATTAAGTTAAGGTAGCTTATATGTACAGGTCCATCTTTCTGATTGGCATCTTTCGACTCCAGAATAATCCGGAAAATCGTGTGTGATCGAGATGACCTCTCATTCATGCGAGTAGCTGCAACTCGTCTGATCTTATTGCCCTGCATCATGTTCTCCATAACTTTATCAACATTGTCTACGACAGCTTCCCTTGCATCAAGCAGCACATTTCCTTTGATATCTTCTCTTATAGTTAAACCCTGATTGCTCTTATCCAGGAGGTCATTGATCTTTTCATTGTAGATTTCAATATAACTGCATCTAATCAAGTACCTCTTATCAACCTGGTCTGCCACATGCTGGAATAACTGATTGGATACTAATTGGAAAAGCCCAGGATCTGTTTTATTGCCCAAAATGGTGTGTGTTTTGCCAGAAGATGTTTGGCCATATGCAAATATTGTGGCATTGAAACCTTCCATGAAGGAATCGACTAAAGGTTTTACTACAGATCCATATACATCTGAATTTGTACATTCCTGCTTAAATACATGGTCGAATATATAAACCTCTCCATGGCGACTACTTTCATCGGCTTCCCATATGCAGTTTACTCTTACGTTCCAAAGACGCTCTAGACCATCGGCTACTTCGCGGTGGATCATTGGTCTGATCTTTGTGGCTACTTTAATATTGTCGGAAGTCATTTTGGAAGCTTGAACTGAAATTTAATTAGAACTAGGGCTATTTCACGGGTTATAAAGAGGGGCACTTTTCATAATCCAGATTTCGTTTTGGCATTCCAGTTCAGCCATTTGATCCTGAAGCTCTTTTATAGTAGAATCATTATGGCATCGTATATCTGAGATTTTAAATGAGTGGTTGACCTCACGTTGGTTACTCTCGTCCATCAGACTCTTTACGTCATTTCTCAGTTTAGATTCAAGTTCTTTTAGGAAGCCAATTTCATCTTGCAGTTCAGCAATGTGTGACATCGTTACATCAGTTTGTGTAGCAGCACTTAAAGAATCTTGCATATCTTCGTACTCAGCGTCAAGCATAGCTTCTAAGTCTGCAACCTTCTTTTTTGACTCAATATTTTGAGCTTCAAGAGATGGTTTAGGGCTCTCTGATCTTCCTAGGTTCTTCAGTTGAGTACGCAGCATCTCTATTTCTGACTCGTATGTTTTTAGTCTTTTTATTATTTTTTTCCAGAAAATCGAGTCTGTATTGCAAGTCGATGAAATTCTTGCGCTTTTTGAGAATTTTTTTGAACTCTTTCTATTTCTTCGTTGTACGCATCCGTTACTTGGCGGAGTTCCTGACTGTAACGATCGATTTTAGAATTGGCTTCTGTGAGCTGTTTCTTCAGGTCCAAAATCTCCAGCTGATTATCTAGTTTAGTGAATTCTCTAAGCTCATTGAAAGATTCTTCCAGTTCTTTGCGTTGTCTTTTAAGTACACTTGCACGTCTTCAGCTATCACAGATTCTGCTTCGGCTAGTGCCTCCTCATATGTCTCTTCTTGAATAGGCCTCATTTCACGTCCGGATGATTCTTCTTTGGGTGGATAATTTTTCAATGGCATATACCCTAGGGATGCTTTTTTAGGTGATACGTTGCCATAGTGTCCAAAAGTATGACGTCTTAATGTTTTTTTCGGTGTTGATGCCTTGGCTCCCATTTGAAAGCGCCCGACAATAGATACTTCCGTTTTTAGTCTTTCTATCTCGAGCAGATACTCTTGTTTGCTTTTATCCATCTCTTTTAGCTTAATTGCCTGCTTTTTGAGCCGAGTTTCGAGATCGCGAGTCAAGTTCTGATATCCTTGAAGTGTCTCTTCTGTAGCTGACAAGATGTTTACTTTCGTTTTATTTTTGACAGTTTTAGTGCTTTGGGCGAATTCTGGTGTAGATCTAGTCTCCTCCTCTGCAGCTAAAGTAACATTCCCGATAATCAATGATTTGGCATTACCGCCAAGAGCCTGTGAGAGCAGTCTAGTCAATTTCGAATCGCGATAACTGATAAACTCCTTCCCCTCGCTTAGTTGCCTTATCACATTTCCTAATACTGACAAAGATTTGTTTATGTTAGCCCCCTCTTTAAGACGCTCACCAGCAGCTTTCGTCAGAGAAACTCTCTCAGAACCAGCTAAGTCCATTAAGTTAAGGTAGCTTATATGTACAGGTCCATCTTTCTGATTGGCATCTTTCGACTCCAGAATAATCCGGAAAATCGTGTGTGATCGAGATGACCTCTCATTCATGCGAGTAGCTGCAACTCGTCTGATCTTATTGCCCTGCATCATGTTCTCCATAACTTTATCAACATTGTCTACGACAGCTTCCCTTGCATCAAGCAGCACATTTCCTTTGATATCTTCTCATAGTTAAACCCTGATTGCTCTTATCCAGGAGGTCATTGATCTTTTCATTGTAGATTTCAAT